CGCGCTCTTCTTCTTCTTCCTCCTTTCGTCGCTGCCTCTGTAAATCTCTAAGATGATCCTCAAGGCCGATGATGCTTTTCCAGATTGCTGGCCCGTCCTCTTCAATGAAGGCCTCTGAGCCTATCAGATTGCCGATTGATTTAAGATCTCGGCAGGGCCCACAAAGTGCAGGTCCCCCTGAAAAATCAGATCTCAATCCTATATGCCACTTTCGACAATTGTGGCAGGATGAGGTGCTCATACCAAGAAGCCGGTCCTATAAGCCCAACAGCAGCGGGTCAATTCCTAAATCACGTGAACGTACAATCAGGCCGGAAGGCTTACGGCTGGTGCATTTAAATGACTGACCCCGCTCAGCAATGTTTACTAAGTTTACTAATGTTCAGCAACACCTGCCTTGACCATCCTTGACCCTTAGGTGTCCTGGTGCTCAGCGTTGTAGGCGCGCGCGTAGGTAACATTCTCAAGAACATCCTCTCAGCAGAACGGAACGTGAAAGTTTACACCTCTGTAAGGCAGGCACATCTGCCCACTGGCAACGCAAATTTGAGAAGAGGGTGGGGCGAGACAGCTAGATTTACTTGATTTCCAAGCCAGGTTGCAGCAGCCAACTGCAAGCAATCTACCTAGAAAGTAACTTTGCACCTGGGTCGTTGTGAGGTGCATTTCTGAGCAGACTCTGAAGGTGTTCATGCAGACAGAAAACTGGACTTTTGAACAACGACAGGCTATCGCAGGCTGGAGAAGCAGTTCGATTTGCATGGGCGTTGCTAAAGTCGCTTTATAAGCTTGATAGGCGAAGGATCCGGCAAAATTCAATCCTGCACTTTGATGAAAGCGGCACGACGAGATCAGTGATCTACATCAGTATGGCTCCTCTTCATTGAGCCCGTATCGCTTGGCAATGTCAGCCAATCTCTCTGGACGAAAGGTTCCCTGCAAGCTGTCCGGATGATTGCTGTCGTTGGCAACAAATGAACACCCGACTGCCGCCTCCGTGTCAATATAAAGGGCCTGCAGCACAGTTTCAGCTGGAATTGTCAGCACTCCCTATCATGATTGGACTTGCATCAACACAACGTGTTTCCTGTTACCGAATCTCTTGGTCAGGGAGCCTTGCTCTCGCCACCTCCACGACTGATCGGCAGCTGGCAAGCTACGCAGAGTGTGTGGCCTACATGCGTCTGCAACAAGCCGAATCGAAACAGCTCAGTTGGATTGAGCAAATCCCTGCTCAGCCCAAGGCACAGCTGCGTTTTGCCACATCGGAATTCACCAAATATCTGCATTACCGGGCTTCAAAAGCGCGTCAGCCAGCAAACTATTCTTGATGTATGGCAGGCCTCTGTGATCTGGCCAGTCCTGGCATGCTAGGGTCTGTTCTTGGTGCGCTAGGATCTCAGTCGGGTGCCATAGGTTATCGGTGCCGCCCATAAGTGGAACCAGCGTTGCCGTGCTGCACTGCCCTTCCCCTACAGCTCATCTTCTTTGTGGTGGCGCGCGCCGAAAATTTCTCATGTTGTGAATATTCAAGCATATTCAAGCGCGTTGCCAAGCAAGCCAGAATGGCTCAACTCCTCCTTTCAGTAAGCTGTCAAGCTTAGCAGATCCTGTGGTTATTTGAACCTGCAGCATTGCGGAGGTGCCCAGCTAATACGAGGATCCTGGGCCTAAGCTTCACACCATGTTCTTCCGCAGCTGAAGCATTTCTGCGGCACTCACCTGGGGCTCGCATAGCTGTAAAGATCTCTCAGGTCACCTGCAAGCATAAGAAAGTCAATGCTTAGCTTCTGTCCATGCGCATTGGAACTAGCTGCTTCGCAGCAGCATGGATCCGCGCTGCCTGATGCATGCAAACTGCATGCAGCTCTGCATGTGCATGTGGTGCGACATGGCGCGGCCTTGCTACAAGAAGATATGCAGTCTTCTTACTTCGATGACACAGCGCTTAGATCGCCCATGTTGCTGCTGTGCTACCACCAACACGATCACGACCAAGACAGTGAGAACAAAGACGGCAACGACAGGACTACCATGTCGCCACAAGCAACCAACGGCACCGGCCCCACAGTGAAGGGCACTGGGCCTTTGCAAATTACACCCCTGGGACTGCACAAGCTTGCAGAACCTTCAGATATGTCACTGACAAGAAAGGCATGTAGAAAATGGGTGAGCAATCAACTCGACGCGTAGCTACTCAAAGGGTGCGGCTTTTGTTTCGCCGATTCCTTTCACTTCATGCCTGATTGCGCAAGGTTGGTTGGCGCGCAGCCAGTACTTTTTGGTCGTGCTAAGGTCTGGACAGCTTGCGCAACGGCATGAAAGCAATAGTCTCAACCTAGCCAGGCTCGAGCTCTCCCAGACTATCCAGACTCCAGATTTGTACGAAACCCTCTCTTCAATGATGTAGCATCCAAGCAAGGACGGAGTACTCAAGTGATTATTCTGAATCTGAGGGCCATTCACAGTGGATGCCGTGGTCGAGCAGGGCATTCAAATCGGTCTTCGGACATTCACCAGCAGCGAAGTACATCTATTCATCATCCATGCGCATGCGCTCCGACATCAACCCGCATCAACCTGGCCCCGCCTTCGAAATCCCTGCTCCCTTCTGGTCCACTGTTGCGCACAAGCGCTCCAACTGGCAAAACACTTCTGGCACGTGTCTTGCAGATCAAACAATCAAATATTGTGTTTATCAGCACAAGGCACCGCAGTCTGAGACGCAGCTCCCTCCCTTGTTGGGCGCTCTTTCTGCAAGGGGGCTGCAAAGATGGACTCACAGAAAGAAGAGCGATAACATACCCCTACCTGCTTCAAGCCTCACAGGCAACGTCGTGAGCATACTGAGACACACGGCCACCAAATAGAATAGCTTTAACCAGGCTGATGACTGAATCCTCACGGCCATGCGCGGAGCAGGCTTCCATCCAAAAATCTAGGAGATTCTAGGAGTAACGTCAAGAATGCTAATCGAAAAGCACAAGCCAAACTGTGTGAGTCAAACAGCTGAAGAAGAACAAGGAAAACAACAGCGAGACCAACCCAACTATTTGGGAGCGCTGACTATCCGGGCTTGGGATCTGTGCGGACATGTCAGATGCACCCTCGTTATGCCGGGCTCGTCATTGGCTTCATCTTCTGCCTGCACGACCTCAGCATCTGCACGCCAAGACTGCCTGACCAGCAACACCAAAACAAAAGACAAGAGGAATATAATTAAAGTAAGTGATCGGCCTGCGCGCTCGGCGCAGCAGCCTGCACAAGAAAGAGCTCACACCTTCTGTGCGCACATCTCCCCTTCCCCGCAGAGCCTCGGCAACGGAAGCTTCCTGTCATCCAGGCAGCCATTAAAGACATCCAACAGAAACAGCAGAATTTAGCAGAATCTTGTGGAAAGCTCCTACTTGTACTCGGACCTCGGCAGCCTCTCTTCTTGCCCTCTTGGGCTGACGCGCCTGCAAGGTTACTAACTTCATGCCCCTGGGTTCCAGGTTCTGAAAAAAGCCAACCGTTTAACAGAAAGCACTCTGCCTGCTGCTCCATGAAGCCCAGGTTCAACTGTCCCTACCCTCAATTGAAGTAGGCTCTTCTTGTGGTCATGTTGCTCGCTGGGCTCCGGTTTGTCAAGCAACGCTGAATTTTGTCTTCTGTGTGGTCTCCCAGAAATCGGTAAGCAGCTCAAGCTAAGATCATCAGAGCAGGAGGCCAGATTCAAAGTGCGTCTGCACAGTTGATGCCAGAAAAAGCAAAGCTTGTTCTTTGATGAGTGCGGCAAGCAAGCTCCCTCGCGGCACAGCACTCCATTGTTTCGAGCTCCAAGCGCCGAGGGTCTGCAGATGGTCCGTCGCATGGCCTCAGAGGTCCCATGGGAATTAACGGCCCCCCCGCAGCATATGGCAGCATAAGTGGGTGCATCTGCTCACAAGCTCCAGGCCCAATAGCTGTCATGTCCTGAGAAGCTGTCGCACAGCTCAATGAGGCTGACACCCGATATCTGCTTAAAGGTTGACGCTACGTACACCCTGATTCTGAATCAAGTTTGCCGCCGGATCACTGTCGGCTCCTGTTCGCTCTCCACTGATTGCTGCTGCAGAACCTCCAACACAAAGCAAGTTCGTATCACATGGTTCGCCCTGCCATGCCCTGCCCCAAGAGCATTGCACGCGCTTACTCTGGTGATGGTCTTAAGCGTCATGGCCTCGTAACTCACCATGCAACCTACCTGATCCTCACCTGCCTTTATTGCTGCGTGCTGCTCTCTACATGAAACGTCAGAAGTCTTGATAATCAGGCATCACATGGTCACGACGGTACACAGACTGCTGACGTGCCCGTCGATATCACGATTTGGCTTTGTAGCGATGAGTGCGTCGCCCCATGCAGTGGTCCGATGACTTGCTGCGTTTCAGACTTCTGTTCGCATCGTCTATGCATTAGTAGCACAGAAGCAGCTACTGCATGCTCGAAGATCAGCTTCTAGAAAACTTTGAACGCTTCGCCACACTGCTCTCGGGCCTGTTTGGTCCCATCGCATCACAACCCTGTCATTGCACATGATAGAATCCACTAGGCAGGCAATCGGACATCAATCATACGCAGTAAATGCGGAATAACTTTGCTTGCTAGGGAAATATTATAGCAGCGACGGTGACCAGTCACGAAGGTCAGTAGATATTTCCACAAGCGCCAGGCAAGTGGTTGGATGAGCAACGACACGCATCAAGGAACTCCCCAAGAACCAAAGCTGTTCAAATCGCAGAATCCACGTTGGATCACGCAGCTTGCATGGTGGCGAAGAATTCCGCACTGCAAGGAGATGAAAGATATTGTAAACGCAGCCCTTACAGCTCATTGGGGGTTCAGGTTTTGGGGCCAACATAACATGTCATCGTCGAGGCGTAGATTTGCAAGAGCAGATAGTCAAGAAATCATCATGCAAATCTACACCGCGATTTGGGAGGAATGCGTTTAGTTTTCTTTGGCTCAAACTCTTCTGCATGCCCTGTTGGGTTTTTGTGTGAATGCGCCAGTATCCGAACTTGCATCTATACTTTGCAAGTACGGTTTGGTCTTCAGGATGTTGCCCGTAAACAACAATTGACGGAGGCACTTGATTAACGCCCATGCTCCGGAACGTCCGGAATGGTCCGGAACCCGCTCCCCGGCCAGAACCTGTTCTGGAACCTTCTGCGGAACCTGGGTTCAGGAGGTTGAGGCCGAGGAGGGCAGGGTCTAGAACCAAAGACAGTGGATTTCAGATTCTGCGCCAGACCCTCCGGAATTTCTCGGTTGCAGAGGAGAGCCCAAAACGTCAGCCCTGGCTGAGGACGTTCATCACATTGCAGAGGGAGATGTCATCAGCAATTGGTGAGTTTGCACCGTGTTAGCGACGCCCTGCGGGCTCACGTTAACATTTCCTGATGCAGTTCCAGTGAAGTCTGTGTCCGCGCACGGAGGCGGGAGATGGTCGACATGTAAGATATTGCAGCCCTTGAGACGCCCTGAAACCAACTCCAGCACCGGTTCACCCGCTTCTGAACCCGGTTAAAGCCCAAACGACTGGAGACTCCAATGCTCCGCTGATGGGAAAAGAACCTTCGGAAAACCTATAAGAAACCCACGGAACCCCCAGGAAACCGTTAGGAACCCCTCAAGAAAAAACCCAAGACTCACCCAAGGAAACCCATCGGAAACCCCACTAAAGTGACCTGATTTACCCTTTGGGAACTTACAAAAGGATAATGACGGTTAAGGGGGCAGAGAGGGTAGCACATTTTCAGAGGCTCTCTGGGCAAAGTCTACTGCATGGTATTATATCCATTGCTGTCCGCTTAGGCTGACCGCGGCTCAAAGAACTCCGCACAAGAACCCGCTTCGGAACTTCCAAAAACCCAAAAGCTGGAGACCCCACCACTTCGCTGTTGGAGAAAAACCATGCTGTCCTGCGAACAGAAAATAGATTTCCCCAGGACCCGGGAACTGCACGGCGCAGAAGGTCGCGGAAGGTTATTGCCGTGCCCAATGTGCCCAGTCACCCAGGAGTCAAAAATGGCTGTGACTTTTGCCACGCGGGCGCCCTACAGTGTCTGGTGGCGGGAATCAAACTGTTCTGCAAATTACTCCGGACGGCGCCACCTACGTCGTCAGTGCAGGTGTTGGGGTGGCCTGTACATTAGGCAGGCGATAGGAAAGCGTCGCGGCACCACCTATGTCGACAGTGAAGAGACTCACATTAGGGAGCACGACGTTTGCAATCCACCGCGGCTAGCCGTGCGACTGTGCAAAGCTGGTCTTTCCAGCATGTCATCAGAGGCTCGCAGGTCCTCACCCTACACGACGAGCATGAAGCGCATCTACCACTGTAGTGGTGACCACAATCCACGAACCTTCTGCCCAAGCACCTCAGTCATAGCGCAGGTTGCAGCCGATGATGGCGGGTCTTGCTAGCAAATTCTTAGATCACAAATCCTGCATGAGCTTGATGTATAGCATCTGGCACGCTTGGTGCCCTGAACCCGGGGAGTGGCCTCAGGTTACTCCGTGTTGTACAGCGATGGCTATCATGCCCTTTCATCTTGAAGTTGGGCCTCCAGGTCAATGAAATCCCTCATACTGTCCTGGAGGCATTTGTATCCCGGTGCGTCTTGGTCCACGCCACTTCGGTGGCAAGAGGCCAGCCGTACACCAACACAAAATGGCTGTGGCTTTTCAGCGCGCAGGATGTTTGGTGGATCCACAATTCTGTGTGTCGGAGCCCAAAACCTTCTAATTTACAAGACATTGAGCTCACTGGCCCCAATGATTTGCGTTGCAGAGTTGTCCGCTGGTGGTTTGGAGCCTGTGTCCGCAACCAGCATTTTGGCATATTTTGGCACTTTCCTAGAACCTTCCATCTACACAAGACATAAGTCAGATGAGGAAATGGCTGCAGGGTTGGAGCCAGGACACCAAAGTCAACAATGACAACTTAGAAATCCAATCGGGATGGCAAGATGCTTGCCTGTTTGTGCCAAGCCCGCAGGCAGTGCACCAGTCTTCGATGGCCACTCACCATCCCTTGCCAGTACGATATCAGTAGGAGCCAAACTCTGACTTTCGATTGGCCGCAGGAAACAGCGACGTGTGGTGTAATCTCAGATGCAGGCGCCCAAATGCTGACAAACTCCACCTGAAAAGTGGAAGAACACGGTGACACGACAACAAACGCTTTTGTGATTCACTGCAATGGCTGCACCTCGACTTCGGAGGAGGCATTGGAATCAGCCCTGTTTGCTCAGGTTCAGCAAGCCCGCAACCTCCCGGGATGTTACAAGTACTCCGCCTGCTGGCTCTCTTGCTAGAAGTGAGAACCGCGCCAAAATCCTGGCCACTCCGATTGCCAACTGAATGTCAAGTACGCACAGCCAATGCGAGCGAAGTGGCCTTTGTACTCGAACTGACTACGCCGTAGCTACGCAAATTCTAGGCATCAGCTAGTGCGAGTCCTCGCTGGAAAGGCGCTTGCTGGCTCCCACGTCTCTTCCTGCCACTTAGAGAGTCAGCTGACCCGAGCACATGTAGCGGCTGCAACAGATGATGCAACCTCGCAGTCGAGAGTCACCTTTCAGGCTTTCGCGCGAAGCCTGGCAGCTGCCAGAATCTGCCAGATTTTTGGCCAAAGAAATGCGAAAACTGTTCATGTGTTCGTGCGGGAGCTGGGAGCGGCACCTTCATGAGTTGTCGTGACCTCGAAATCAAGCCGAGACTCCGCAGTTTTCAAATGGACTGCCTGCGAATGTCTAGAAAGTAGGGTCCTAAACAATGCTTATAGTAGGATAGGTCCCTCCTGTTGCCACATGTACTCGGAGTCTACAGCAGTAGAAGCGAAAAAGCGATGCCCTTTTCAAATCATGGAAGATGATGGAAGAATCAAGTTATGCCGAGTGACCGCCGCGCAGAGCTCAGCTGCTGTGATCGCTGAAGCCATGCCTGCTCGAACGCTCGTTCCACGAAATAGAAGTGCATGGAAGGACTTGCCGTCCGACTTGAGATGATTTGAGCTAATCGCCTTCAAGATATTTCGAAGGTCCTGCCCCTACCTAAGATACCCTGCATGCAACACCATGCAGCACATGGCCTGGCTATCCTCCTCATACATCTACCTCGCTGGCGCCTCCTGGGCATCCTGTAGCACCACAGGCTCTGATCTGGCCTCCACTGCAAACTGGCAATGGGCTGTCCATATGCTGGCTCCACTTCATGTGTTTTCGGCGCAAGAAACAAACTTCAGGCAAAATGCAAGGCCTGCAGCAGTGGCTGGCTGCCTGAAGCAAGCTGACATGCTCTACTGAAGCTGAACATTGCCGCCAAATGATGGAGTAGAGGCAAGCACTGCATTGCAGCTCCTTGGCAGGGACCTGCCTTCGGCTGGGACCTGCTGAAGAACTAAGGCAGAATCCCTTGCATAAACCTGAGCAGGCATTGGTGGCAGATTTCAAGTCGGACTCCTGTCCACAAGTCTGCAGCATGTTTGCTCAATAATGCTCATAAGGTTGGTGCAACCTGATGGCCATCCGTCAAAGGCGCCAGCCCGTGGCCAGCTTCTGGCTGGGCCTGAGCTGCACGCTGCTCCAACCTGCCCCGATCTGCCTCATGTCACCACTTTTATACGCAGTTCACACCCACTGTGCAACGTTTGCAGCTGCGGCGCTGAAGCTTCAGAGGATCCAAATGCCTTGCATCAGAAAAAGAACCCGTCAGAAAGACGGCCTTCAGCACAGGCCTCAGCAAGTACCATGGACCGTGGCGTCGAGCATTCGCCAGTCAGCCATGCCTACAAACCATCAAGGGCATCGAGCTTCAAACTCAGAGCTTGGAAGCTCAGAGACCGGCTTCAAGCTCACGCTCCTGATACCTGTCATACAATGAGCCATGAGCGACTGGTGCAAAAGGACAAACGTGAAAGAGAATGCGCACTGAGTGGAAGAGAGCCACATTCCTTAGTGCTGCTCGGCGGTGGATTGTCCACTCATGGCACAGTCACTTAAGCTGCATTGCGATTGTCATGGCGTGAGCTGTCTTTTGGGTATACTGTCGTAAGCTTTGCAGCTTTCGCAAAGAAACTCACGGACAAGGATTGAGCAGCAACATGGGGTGGGTGGTGCTTTGCCACCCGTCCACGAAGCCATCGCTACAGCCATGTCTTCGACAGGCTCGACAGGCCCGCGTCAAAGCCTGGCCCGCTGAGCCAAGCATCACAATGCGGCGCAGCGTCCGCGGCACATCTGCACCTATTGGGCTCTACGGTTGCTGGGATAAGATTTAGGCTTCCAGCCCTCACCGGCTCCTGCGCATCTGACGCTGCAAGTTCACTTGGAACAGGCTTCGGAGAGCCAACCCAGAAAGGTAACACCTTTTTACCCAGAATCCAATGCAAACCAAGTAACAGCCTTTGAGGAACATGTTTCCGGGCGATTTGGAACTGTGTGTTTTATCTCGCAGCCACCTTTGAACTTGACACTCCTGAAAGGATTCTGCACCTTCAGGTAGTTGGCTCGTGTTTGAGCTCATCGACAGTGTCTGGGAAGTCCGCACAGTCCTCTGTCAGACATGGAAATGGAAGCAGTAGGCTTACTCAACAGGACTCCAGCACAGTCATAAGTTGCAACTTTGGCAGCCATTCTCAAGCAAGCTTCTGAAGTGGTTGCTAGCCCAACTGCGGGGCCATTTGCAACTGCCGCCACCAAGTTCGACACATCCGCCCCGCACAGTGCCTGCAGACGCCAGCTGCAGATAGCTGCAGGTTTATAGCTGCGGGTATGGGATTGTCGAACATCACGGAGGCAATCATGCTTCTGATTCACGGCCTTCTGACTGCCTCCAACGGAGCAATCCGAAACCGCCAGAGATCTGAGCTATTTAACGCAAGCAACGAGATCTCGAGTGCTGTGTCAGGTTACTAAGGCTGCAGCATAAATCGTGAAACCCAGCTGAAGGAGGAGATGACATCCAGGATGTCTATCGAACAGGCCCTGCAAACTGTTGAGATGAAGTCAAAATGACTTGGAAACCCTCAATCAATCTTAATTTGAAACGAGGCCTGGGCTCAGGACAGGCAATGGTTGCCGAGCGGATTTGTAGGGTCGCGCGGACCAGAAAGGCAGCCTTTGTGGAAAGAAACTCTGCACCGACAATGAAGATGCGCGCGGTCGGGATTGCAGCCAAGCCACAGCATTGGTCACATCAACAACACACTGCGTGATGTCAAAAGCGCGCATAGCATCGTTCTCAGCACAGACACCATGCACTCATGTCATGCAAGGAACGACATGACTACAATGCGATGATGGGGCACTTTGGTTACAATACGGGTTCGCGTGTGAAGCAGCTGCTGAAGTTCAGAAACCTCCAAGCTAAACTATAGATGCTCAAGTGTGCCCGTCATCATTGCATCACATCGCAGATGCCGATGGGGTCATCCAGGCACTCAGGAGTGGTAGAGGTTTCCGGAGACACATTGCTTCGGACGACAGAACATACAACCCGCGACAGCTCCTGCTCAAACAAGAGCGGGACAACAATGTCAGAGGGCGCATGTAATGTGTTCAAAGCTTTGCTCCGACACTCCCATCTTTATGGCTGACGCCCTGCACCATCACTTAGGCTAACCCAGCATATAGAGGCTGACGAAAATGCTCGAATCAGGGGACAACCTGGATAGGCTTGGTAGATTGGCAGGATAGCACAACGCAAAATGTGCTAAGATGCTTTCATCCACCTCCCTAACTCCCAGATGCACAAGTCGGGAAGGCTTTGGGCTATCACAGTACATCGATCGTGAGATCTTGACGAGCTGGCGCCACGACCGAGCTGCCGCCAAGGCACATGGCGCTTCCGCGCTAAGAGGAGTGCTGGTCCAGCGCCAGGCGGAATAAACTGCTGCCAATGCCAGTGATGAGTTCTCCGATTGCGATCTAGGTGAAGCAGCAGACCACTGATTCGTCCACCGAAGTCACAATCATGCTTGACTGCCGCACCGCTGGAGGCAACCTCTGCGAAATCTGCCATTAGCGCCGTCCAGTCCGCAGCGCAAAGCGCGCCGGAGTTCAATGCGTCACCACAGGATGATGCTGCCAAACTCAAATATGATGCAACCCAGCTCATTGAAGCCACAAATCCAGCTACACTCACAGCACATCCATCGGGCGTGTTTCTAGGACACTCCAAGCCTGTGTAATCGATGGCTCTGTACAGGAAAACTACGGCTTGCACCAGGTACGCTGTAGCTTGCAGCGCATCGATAACACATTCTGTTCTCATCCAGGGTAACTCGGCATCCTGGTACGGCGCATACTGGGTGAACAGGTCGCGAAGTTCCCGCGGTGTCTCGGAATGGTCCAAGCCTGGTAACGTGAGGATGGTCATTCAAGGCGAGAAGGACATGAACTTCATGAACGGAAGTGCCTTCTGCACGCCTAATCACGCTCGATATATTGGGAATCTCTTCCCACTCCTCAAGGCCCACCAGGGTTTTCCTTGACAGGCAGTCTGCTCACAAAATCTCACCAACAGCACGGAAGCTCGGCAGTGACATCCAAGGCGCGAGAAGTGTCGATGAGCAGCGGTTGATGGGTAACATGCATAGGCAATCACAGCAGCGGAGGCCAGGACAAACGTCCCAGTGGTGAAGCGCCACCTTCTCGATGCACTCAAGGCATCATCATCAGAGCTGTCTGCATCCTTCCTCGCAGCCTGTCAGAGTGGCACGGTTCAGTACAGAATTGTCTTGCAACTGATCCCTCAAGCTTCTCGCGGCCTCTGTCGAATGTCTTCCATCTTGCTCGATGAGGGCGGTCCTTTCCTCCTGCTGGATAGACTCCGATTCCTGACTTGCAGTCGCAGAAATATCTATCCACATATCTACCGCGGGCCACTTCGTCTGGCCAGCTACCGCTTCAGCACAGAGCCAAGACCGCAAGTCGGCACGGATCTTGTTGATCTACCCCTTTCTGCACGCAACTGGAAACCAGCTGCACCTCCAGCATCCCCCAAGCTATTCACTCAGGCCCACGCGCGTGGCGAACCACCACCGGCGCCAAGCCCGACTCAACACCTATCGTGCAGTGAAGCGACGTGGAAGCCAAGCTTTGCCAAAGACAGCATCCACCAGGAGTGTCTCACCAGCCCCAATGCTTTGCATGCCACAATGACATTTACGGGCTTTGGGGCTCGGCCTGTTGTACGTGGCTGTGGCTTCTGCCCGAGCACACCTGCAATCACACAATGCTGAGCAAGGCTGTTTCTATGCACTGCAAACGCGCGGAGGAGCACCACTGGGCTTGCTCCAGCAGATGTTGATGAGGTGTCCCTTGTCTTCAAGGCCTGGGCTCTGGCACACACTGACACTGATAAAAGACCATGCATGAAGCAGGCATCTTATGTGCAAGGAAGTCCTGGCAACTCAGAAGCGAATCATGGAGCTGAGGTTCAGGCTAGCCAGAATGCCCCAAGTCCCAACCGCAACCTGTAGGATTACGTTGATAGCGATACTTCAGCTGGCCATCGCGCAGTGCAACACCAAAACATGCTGACTCAGATAGCCAAACGACAGCGTCTGGTAGTAGTGGACCTTCATCAATGCACTGTTCGAGAGCTCACACAAGTTGAATCACCTCACAGGTTGGCCTGGGCCATAGTCTCCATCATCTTACGACGGATAAGGTGTAGCCTGACTGAAACATGTCTGGTTCTGCGTCCATTATCTGTGCTGGGGTACCTCGTATGGACCAACCTTTCCACCTTCCAAGTTGACAGGCCCCAACGTTTTCTTTGATGCCTATCACCTCACGGGTGCTGGCCTCAAACTACATCACCCTTTCAATTGAAAGCACTTGTAGACAGCTTCCATAGGCAAGGAAGATGGAATGAGATGGAATGAGGAGTGGAGTCGCAGCAGACCTACGGAAGGGCATCCCGCTGAAGGAGCTCGCACTCAGGCTGCCCAGATACTTCTTTAAGCCCTCCTTCCTGCTTGGGCAGGCTGACACTTCAGCTCAAAGCAACACCAATAACACAAGTACAAGTTTACCCCTCGCTAAGACGAAGCTTTGCCTTTGGCAGTTCAAAGTGAAGAGGTCTGCTCGGAAAACTGTCAGACACAGTGCGCATTGCGATGACAAAGTCTGAAAACACTGCGCCCGGATTTCTAGCATACGAAGGACGCACAGGCGACAAAAACGTGATAGGTTTAGCGTTCAGCTGCGCCACGTCGCTGGTTGTTGCCCTCTCCAGGACCTGCCTTTGCTGAACATTCCAAATCCCGGCATTGGTTTGCTTTCGTATCATCCACAATCCACCGCTACGAAAGTTGGCGAGAACGTTTGCACAAGTGTGCCTGTGATGAAGAGCTTGTTCTTGCAAGGGGATTAAATGCATGCTGTTGCTCATCGCGCAAGCTCTCAAAAGAATCTCCACTCCTATTCAGCGAAACTGGGTCCAAATTACTAGGTTTGATAGGTTGACAGTAAGCTCGCTCTGCGCATGCCATGAAGAGCACACAGGTATCATGTCTTCTCTGGTTCTCAGATGCCTGACGCGAATCAGAGCAAAAACTACGCTCACTACGCTCCTGTCGAAACAACTAAGTGAGAGTGACTGAGAGCCCTCAATCACAAGCGTCGTTTGCAGCTCTTTGGGGACTGGACAATCGAAGCCTTCGCTCAACATCTCGCTGGGCAAATACCGCCTCAAGCAAACCAAGGAGGCAAGCCGTGTCCACCCCTGCTGCCATTGCAATGACATCGCCTGGCGTAACCGGGCCCAAGCCGGAGCCAGATGCATCTGGGCAATCCTCAGCAGTCAGTTTGTCGGGCAGGCTGCCATGAAAGAAAGTGGCCGTGCCTCTGCAAGACAAGCGGCAGAGGACGCCTGGCGCAGCATAAGCGAGATTTGCTTGGCTCAAACGATATAAAGCTATGCCGGTGTCTCTTTGGCGCCAGACGTCGGCCGTACCACGAGGTACGCCTCACATTAAAGCCAGTAGCACTCCGCTTGCAGTGACATCAGGGGCCAGACCGTCTCCACAGGCGCAGCGCAAGCTGCAGCTGGCTGCGAAGGCAGGCTTGTTGCTTGCTGCGCACAGTGTCGATGTACCGCATCCATGCTCTCCATGGCTTTTTGATGGCCTTCGTGGTAAAGTAACGGAGTGCCAAGGCACTCAGTCTTCCTAAAATGATGGAGTCGTGCCACCATTCCGCCGGCGCTCCGAAAGTGGAGATTGCGCCACCCAAAGCACTTGTTGGACTGATGGGTTCCGCATGACTCGCAGAGCCTAGCTGTGAACGAACTTCGCTCCCTTCTGCACTCCAGGTTCTGTCTGGCAGATCTGCTACGTGCACCGGAAGCGAGGAGGCTCTTGACTCCGACCTTGACGACAGGGAGTGCGTGATGCGCTGTGCATCAAGCTGGGAAGTCGTATGCCCCGGGTCTACCAAGCTGGAAGCTGACGGACCGATCGGCCCGATAGGCTCGGGACTTCTGAATTCGGCCTTTGGGGCTTTGGAAGTCCCTTGGCCATGCAAAGATGGTATCAGCAACTTTGGGGCCACCAGGCGGCTCATGCGGCTCAGTCGTTCCCCGAGATGCGACTGGAAATCATCGTCTTGTGTTAAGCATCTGCAGTTGTCCTCATGCTTTAGGCGTTCTATCTAGGATCATCTTCGAAGGTATCACAATTAACTAGCTCGCTGTTAGCATGTTCCATTCTCACGAATCTCAGGCTTGATCTTGCTCAGCTGCACCAGAGACTCTAAGTCATCATAGTTCGCCTCAGCCTCCAGCGGCGAGGCGTCGGGAACAGGTAGGCCAGGCTGTCAAACTCGCTACACTGAACTCCCGCCCCTTTAGCTGGAAGCACTTCTACCTGTTGGAAACAAGTCCTTGCGAGGCTCCTATAGATGGCCCCTAGAAAGCTCTTCTTACTCTCTTCCGCAACACCCTTAACATGCTGAAACGGGTTGGGGAAAAATGCACCTTCTCGCAGGCAAAGCAGGCCAGCAACAGGATGCAGGGCTATGCTCCGTTCCAACGCAACGATGCTGGTAAGCTTCGTTGTACTGAGGCAGATTCAGTGCGTTGACAACTACGCGGCTGGCGGGTTAAGAGAAGCTTAGAGGCATGCCACCAGAACAGGCCATGCTCTACGGTCCAACCAAGCAGTCTTGCTGGCAGAAAGCGATTGTGTATTCCTAAATTCAAGTGAAACATCTGTAGTGAAACTTTAGGCTTGGACGTCGCAAAGGTTGTGTACATCGGCTGAAGTGGAGCATCTCGCACAGTTGTACTTGCTCGGGACACTTCGATCCAATCTGCAGGGAGCATCAGGGAGCTGGGGCGAGCATGTTCCAGTAGCCGCTTCTTTGACACTTAGCCCAGCCACTAGGAAAACATGCAGTCCACTAGGTGGTCAAGCTGCCAACGTGCTTCAGTGAGGGTGCTCACCTGAAGCTGCTTCAACTTCCTGCTACCTCGCTTCCAATTGTTCCTGCTCTTGATGCCAGCTGGGCTTTCCACCCTTCATCTTTGCCTTCAGTTCAGGTTTGGATCTTCTCGCATGGATTAGTCAATGGCCTGCGAAAGAAGCACCAGGGCCGCGACATCTGCAAAATGCCTTGAGTTCTTCTCACAGCAATCTGATGTCAAAGCTGGAGCAGCTAGCGGCTGCAAAGCCTTGAAACCCTCTCGGCAACATCAGACGTGCTGCGCATCCATCATGCTCGAAAGCTTCTCCAAATCCTCATCGGTCCAGTGTCCTGAGATTGCAATGAAGGTGCAAGAAAATTCAGCTAGGAGGTCTTGCTGTCCTTCCGGCAACTCCATGTCCAGTGCCTTGGAACTCTGCTAGCATTTTAGTCTACAACCAGTCCATGACAGTTCATGAGTGATAACGCCTTGGCTGGTTCGACGATTTCGGCCACTGGAAGAAAGACCTCAAGGTAGCAAGATGACCGGTGGACCCGGCACGCCACCCAGACAGGCTCACTCCGTTAAGGAATATGAAAGCAGCATGTCAGTGAAGATTCTGTCGCAATCACGGAGCTCCACAAACTTAGTTTGCAAGCTGTCGCAGACTGCAACCTGCCTTCGACCCCGGCCCTACAATAATCAACAGGTATGGAGATGTTATTTAACCCCAGCCTTAAGTCAGCGCTCGGCCGCCGATTCTTCTACTCTTTTGCTGATTTGAAGACGAAATTGCAAGCAGTTTTCACGAATTCCCACTCTGGGGTCGAAGCAGGCATGTCGTCATCTGACAGGTTGTAGTCACCTCACTGCCATGTCAATGTTGGGTCACAGCATGAACTTCGGCTATCGGAAGCGGCTATCCAACTACCTTGAAAATGAGAATCAGACTTGCGACTGCATCGCCAGTCTCGCTGCCCAAAGCGCTGGCCTCTGTACTCAATCTGCGTCACCAGCAAATCACTTTTCACAACCTGTGTACTGGCAAGAAATTGCATGCTGACGCGTGCACATCCAGTCTTCTCGACAGCAAACGCATGCCACATGCGGACCACAAAACGATAGCGGTTTCTCGCAACAGCCTTGGCTTAGTATCTGATGTTGGCGTCAGCCTTGCTGCAGCTGAACCAATCGGCACTCTTGCTCCCTCCTTGCTATTCCCATACCCGCACCACCAGCGCCACCCTGCCTGCGCCACCACCACCACCACCACCACCACCACCGCCACCGCCACCGCCACCGCCACCGCCACCGCCACCGCCACCGCCATTGCCACCATCATCACCACCCCAACCCATTACCGCCACCGCGACGACCGCAATGTAGGATTCCCTCATGTCAGGCTGAAAGCCAATCTCATCCTCAACCGCTCTCACAACGCTCTGCAGATACACCAGGAATCACCACGACAAGTATCTACAAGTTGAAGAATGTACAGCTGATATGCGTCCTACCCATCTGCAACATTCTGCAACCCACATCAAAGACGCAATGAAGATTGGCCGTACTGGGGGCACCTCCATGCCAGGTGGAAACCCAAGATCATCCAGTACATCGCCTGAACTGTTGAGTGAGGGGATACCAGAAACTCGCTGCGCTCGTCCAGCCCGTTGTTTGCGCCTTCTTCCTCGAGGGCCATCTCCTGAGAAAGAGAGAGAGAGAGAGAGAGAGAGGGAGAGGGAGAGGGAGAGGGAGAGGGAGAGGGAGGGAGGGAGAGAGAGCACTTTGAAAGCAAGCCATGGTTCTAGACCCTTGCGTCTTCCCCACCTGCCTCAGAAGGCATTGACGAGACCAGTGGTACATGGGGCGAGCCTTGCAACATCAGTCATCCGCTGGATTTCCAACAATGAACAATGGCCCTCGCCTGGCCCTGTGCCACCAGCAGCGCTGGACAAGGTCGGAATCATCAGGAGGTTCGCAGACTCCCAATCTGCGAAGCGGGTAACTCTGCATAACATGCAAACACTCTGCAGCGTACTTCTTCACACAATCCCAAGATGCCTCCTTTCACAAAAGCATCCACGTCAATGGCCGGCAAGGCACCGTGAGCCTGCCATCCGATCACATACTTCTGAGCTTCCGCATGCGTCAACTGAAGCTTGGATGCGAACGACCCTCGCAAGGTAGGTTTGCAGCTTCGCTGGCACTAGGATCGGTGGGAAGTACATTGACACGAAGCTCACGCTGAGGTGAGGATGATGATGATGATGATGATGATGATCTTGTTGAGGGTGTGCGTAACCGAGCACGGATTTCCACCCACCCCCAACCAAACAATCAGCTGCTCATCAAATGTTCTACACAGGCTACCAGGAAGCAGCAGCTGCCATACAATACGCCCGCAAAGGAGGCATCACGATAACTGGACGGGGCAACACGCTCTGCACCGAGCACGTGTTGGAGACGCCGATATGCAAATGAGGGCACCTATCCTACCTATTCCAGCAATGCCACGGAAATGGAAAAGTTGGTCAAACCACCGGAACTCAAATTGCACCGGAGAAACATCAGTTTGGAGCTTCAAACCACGATCCGTAGTGCCAACTCACACAATGGTTCGGGGAGTGAAGAGAGGAAAGGTGTGAATGAGCAAATGCGAGCACTTACGGCCTGCTGCCATGAACAGATCATGATCCCCTGGCTACCAGGGCCAACAGGCATCATCAGCTGGGTTGTTGCCCACCGAAAAGGACAACGGAGCACTACACCCTAGGGCCCTTCGGCCAGTACGACTAAACCAACCTAATTAAGCCAGGCATCATCACAAGAAAGCGTTAAGATTAGAACTTGAGCACGAGTGGGTTATAGCCAAATCCTTCAACAGATGAACCAAAGCAGATGCAAGAGCGATATGCGGTCCTCTTCCGGCTTTGCCATCGCCCCACAACAAGTGAGACTAAAGATCACGCTCAAGCTGCACACTTGGCTGACGAGCGCGCAGTCAAGCTCGCTGGTCACACAAATCCAAAAGGCAAGCATTCGCATCAGGTGGTTCTCTTAGAAGCTCCTTGCCTGGATCAGACAGTCTCTGCACCAGAGACCCTCAGACCCTCAGGAGGTGCAGGAATGTGTTCGATTCAGACCGCCCATGGGGCCCTCTCCTCAAATGGCAGATGTTTTGAATGGACGACGCTGTCATGCCTTGGCTTGACCAACTGGAGCTCTGTGCAGGCGAGCCAATTTGTTGCTCTGCTGTCAAAACCTTTATGCAAATCAGCACAAGGCGTGGCAGGTTCTGCGAGCCTTCCAAAACTGAGCTGAAATCCAACAAAGCCGCCAAAGTGTCAGAACTGCCCACGCGGTGTTGTATGCTCGCTGTTCCTACCCAGAGTTTTGAATATGCCGTGCTTTAAGCAGAAACTTCGTCCTGGTCCAGTTCATGTTCTAGACTTGTGGGTTTTCTTTGAGCGGGTGACATGCCTCGAACTGAAAAGCAATGAAAATCTGCATGTCTGGCGGAGACCATCCACATCTTCCTCATGATTCAAGCTCCTCTCACATAACTGGCAAAACACCTCTTGGTGGCAACTCCTCAAAACCACATCGATCGTTCGCTTGCTTGCGTGCTTGCTTGCTCCAGTGATGGACTGTTGATTGGCTGCTTGATTGATTGATTGATCCATTGATTGGAGTCAAGCACCTGCACTTGCAAAGCACGCAACTGCAGTTCGCAGCAGATCACAAGAAAACGGAGCATGCATACGAGGGCATAGTGATGGACTGTGTGACTGTCGTCTTGCGCGTCTGGCTCACGGGTGGAAAGGTAAGTCTGCCGGCAACACCGATGGAACTCCATTGGTGGCCACATCTGACGCCTCTTTTGCCAGGTCCTGTTGGACTGAGCGTTCACTGTGCAATATGCATAAGCTTTTGAAGCAAACACAAACGCCTCCAGCTTGGTTGCCCAGGTTGTCATCTCAGCCAAGCGATCATCCTCGACGTGAGCCACATCCTCCAGCTTCAGTGATTTAAGATTCAGGTCAGAACTTAAAGCTAAGAGGCCTCCATGTCCGTCATGGGGTTGGCTGAACTCTGCTCTTCAAGCTCTCGAACGCCTGTTGCAGAACATCCAGCTCTGAACTCACTAGGCACATTCAATTTCAAACACCTATTGCGTCTGGCGTTCCAAGGACGGCGCTGTCTTCCACTTGCATCCGGCTAGACGTTGCCTCCAAAACCAAGTATTACAACTAGAATCTGTCGTTGCTGGGCAGTCTCACGCCAGCTATTAAACCTACTACTACTAGTATTCCACTGCCTCAGCCACTGCGTCATCCAGATCGTCCTTGCTTTGCTCGAGCCTGCATGTTCAGTTCATTTCTTGAAAGGAAGAGGACACATGTCTGAAGGCTGAATACCGCTCCTGGCCAAGATTTCTCTTGCTTTGGAAAGAGGCCCAGCTGCTTCGAGAGCATTCTGTGGGTGCTGCGGCTGCCTGAAGGAAGCAACAGGGGTCTTCATATGTCTTCATGCCGCAGACGTGCTGTTGGCAGTCCTCTGGGCTAAGACGTCCAAAGCGCCGGCCTTGCAGACTCTGCGGAGATCGCATATATGGCATAGAGGATGAGAGGGTGCTTTGAGGATCTTTTGTTCAAATGCCTGGAGAGACAGCACTTTGTCATCCACACCGGGCACTGGCTGTGCAGCTGCTGCCTGGCCATTTAAACGTCCCGGCTGTTTCACTGTGAGTCGGCTCTTTTTGAAGGCTCTCCTGGAGTAAGAGTTGCTGAAGCTGGTCAGGCTGAAGCTGCTCTGAAGCTCGTCGTCGCATCTCATCCTGCAGATGCTCGCTTGAAGCTATTGCCCAACAGCTTCAAGCAGTTTGGCCTGCAGCTGGCTGATTCGATCATCGATGGCATGAAGCCTTTGCGAGAAAACCAAGCTGAACAAGTACGGACATCTGTGTCATCAGTCGATTTGCGAACGAATGTTACTCACCAGCTTTCAAGTTCATGCACAGAGCATGTGCAGATGAGACGGATCGAGACCCTGACGCTTTTCGGTTCTCCCGATCTTCATATTGCTCTCGAAGGACCTGCTCACCTGCTGTGTCGAGGTATGGCTGAAGCGCGATGCTCTCTGCCCCAGAAGCCTGGCAACGCGCTGCAGCTCAAAGCGCTTGACTGCACCTGAAAGATCCAAACTCAGGCATTCTCAGACACCGTGAGGCAGTGGTCAGTATTCTGGGCAAGACACAGAGGGCTTCGAGAACTGGGAGTGACCTAAGGCCCGTGTCATGTTCGGCAGCCCGGCTGGAAGTACTTTGGAACTCGCTGACCTGCAGAGATCTCGGATCCAGCGCGGAGGGATCGAATGGACTTTGCCTTCCCATGTCTTCAACATCGGAGCATATGCCTTGAAACTGATGCAAGAATGCCTCCCACTCAGATTCTGGGATCAGCTGCGCCAGCTTGTCATCAATAGCAAGAATCGCCTCCAAGTTGTAGGGGTCCTGGAAATGGATGACAAGTCTACATGATAGGATACGACAGGTGGACACACGGCACCTCGAAGATCTGCTCTGCCTCCTCCGCACCTGCAGATGTGCTTCTACAACCACCACCGCTGTACATGGGGACCGCTTGCCTTCCGCACCGGCGGCACATTTCCCATCGTCATGACCGGCATCCTGTCCATTGCACCACCGACCGTGGCAGTTTTATGGAAGATTCCAGCTCCTCGAGCACAGGCTCCAGCTTGTGTGAAGCGCGGGACGCAGCGCGTTGACCTGTGCTCGTAAAGCCATCTGTGGCAAAACTAGCAAGCTCGATGACGACCACTCCTGCCTGTAAGACTTGACAGGTCTGCCGTTTCCGATGTGAGAGTAAAGGTGGAAGTGTCCCCCTCGTCCTCCTGAGGACTCGCCAGTGACCACCAGATATGGAGACGACAACAATCACTTTTGGGCATCAGTCCTCTCGCGAAAGTGGGTCGGACGGAAATGCACTCATGCACCTGCAGATTTAACATGCGTATGCAAGCGTCGAAGCCGTCTTGGCAGCATTTGGCAGCTAAGGCGAAGGCTGCGCCGGAGAGGCATCCATCTGGGTGACTCATGTTTGCCCCTACAGTACTACTTAGACACACGGGGCTGACTGGCCAGCCTCAGCAGACGATTCCCAAACACTCCAGTCAACCAGTGCCTGAACAGTATGTTTGTCCATTTTGGGAGTGCGCAGCCATATCCTACCTCACTGGCCGACGGCGTTACAGAACAAGACGGGGCCAGTGAGCCGCTTCTGCTTGGCCTCAGGAGCTTCAGCTGATGATGCTAAAGCGAAGCCACATGCCAGGCTTCCAGAGTGCGCCCAAGCTAGGAGGCACGCTGCACTGAAGACGGAGCCGACCTTGGAGTGCAATGCCCAGACCGTTACTTGATCAAGAGAGAAATATCCGTCCAGCTTGACACAGAAAGCCAGTTCAACACACCCTTCTCAGCTCAAGCAATAAAGCGTGGGAAAGATTGTCGGAGGCCGCGGCGTTGCTCTGGAAGTGCTGCCACGCAACAACCCCTTCTCCTTCACAAGTGGAAAAAAGATGCAAGGCGGTGAGTCGCACGACACTTGCCTTCAGCTGCTTGAGGAACTCAATCTTCTCAGCTTCTGACTTCTCCTTACAAGCATGTCACTCACGCCCCACTACTTGCAGCAGCGTAGAGACGTCACAGCTGCGCTGTAGTATTGCCAAGGCTGCTACACTTTCTCTTCTCAAGCGATCCTCAAGTTACGAATCAGGCATAGAACGCAACACGCACTTGACACGATGTCTTTCACACTTTGGACTTAAGGACTAGGTTTCTGTCCTTTGTCGCCTCCAGCCTGGCAATGGCACGTTCATGGCCATAAATTGCGCTAAATAGCTGCTGCACTCAGTGCACAAGTCGTCGGCACTTGCTGACTTTTATCATCCAAAGAGATCGATCACTGCACTGCTCGGCATTCTCCAACGAACATGCTATGCTTATGCTCACAGGCACAAAGAGCTCGGTGAACGCAACTGGACGAAGTGCGGCTCTGTGCGGCTGTATCCAATAGCTGTGCAACCACGTGCCAACACGATGGCGCGCTTCGTCAGCTACGCAGCATGGTCTTCGTCTTGCTCTTCATCTTTGTGCATCTTCGGATATCGTGCTATGCGCTCGGCGCAACCCCATGGTAATTCGGAGGGCTTCACTTGATTTTCTTCGATTTCTCCTGGCAAGTTGCCGCCATCATCAAGATTTCCAAAGCAGAGGGTTCCGTCCTTTGCTCTTCTTCGTTCTGCAACCTGGGTTTGGGACGCCATTTGCTGTGTGGGCTGTATCTGAAAACTTGGCAACCGCACTATGCTACACAAGATCCTACGAGTAGTGGCCATTTGGTATGAGGCGCCTGCATTGAAATACGCGAGGGCTTGCGCTGGCAGCCAAGAAACAACCAGCCAAAGCAAGTAGAAGATTGCTGCCAAGCTTGCAAAGGATCCTGGACACGCATGGTTCATGACAAGGGGCAATGAAAAGCGCATTTAAGCCGCAAGGTATCTTTGTGCTTCTTCCAATCAGCCTAGGGCAACTTTGGCAGAAAACAAGGGGTCTGCATCGGTCACCTGAAGTTGTGGAACATCTGATCTTTTGAAACTCCATCATATAACGCTGCATGTGGGTCAGTGCAGCTCGCGCGCATCAGGGCAGTCATGCGGGACTAGTGACTGTAGGCGACTCCAGGCTAGCCATCTCGTCGTAGCATTGCGGTACAAGGAAGGCCAATGGAGGCCTTCTTGCCTTGCTAGCTGGATCTAGCTGGATTCCGCGCTTTGAGCAAGATATCATTTCGGGCAGTGCGTTTGGAACGGATTGCCACCACCAAGCGTGGCAGGCTTGCTGAGCTTTGGAAGCCTTCAAACGAGCCATCCCAGAAGCCTTTGCCAGTGCGATCAGTGTCTCTGGTGATCGTGGTATTTGCAGAAGCTTGCACAAATTGCAGTCGCGTGAGTGCCGTCTGACATCGCTTCCCAAGCCTCTCGTCTCGCCAAGAGGGCATCGAGCCTGGCGATCTGCCTGGCCATTCCACAGGCGCCACAGATTTATGGGATCTGATGAGATGCAATCTAGGCTACTTCTGTTTGTGGTGCCACCAGATCATGCCTTGCTATCTTGTCGACAGCAGACTCCTCGTTGTTGCCAGCTGCCTTGATCCAAAAGCCCGCTTGATGAGGTGTCGGGCGATTTAACTGCCCCCAAGGCTGCACATGTGGATGCTAGACAAGCAATTACAGTGTGTGTGCTGCGTCCTCCTCTGCTTGCAAGCGAACGATGGGCAATTCCTGGACCTGAATGTCTGCGTGCTTTGGACATGAGAGGGAAGCAATCAGTGGTCTCTTCTTGGGTCACATGCTGCCTTTTCCTCGAAGAAATATTTCTCCAGGAATGCAGGGAGCCTCCATCTCATCTGAAGACTTACTGGCGTCAGCTGCGCACTAGTACGTCGCAGTGCCTGCCTGAAGTCGTCATTTCCTTCGTTCTCGCCTTGCGGATGTCAGCAAAACACCCACATGCTCTTTAGCTCAGTTTTGCTGAGCAAGGAAAGGCAGGCTTGTTTCAGGGGTGTGGTGTCCGTTGATGCATCAACCTGGTGTAAACCCTTTGCCAACCAGTGGGCATGCCCCAGAATGCTGCTGCACGCAGCAGCAGGGCTGCACACAAAGGTGTATACATGAGCGCTGGCAGTGAGCGTCACAAATCAAACAGCTGGGCTCCATATGGCTCCATGTAAACAAAAGTAGCCCTGGCGGTGAAAGTGCTTCCAAAATGGGCTCTTGAGGTGGGAATTATGGTCTTGAACAATTACAATGCAGGTTCGCAAATGCTCCCTCCGTGAAGGCCTCGAGACATCCTTTTGAAATTCGGATCATATGTTCAAGCTGCATGGGCGCTCGTGCCTGAAACTGAGGAAGCTCCGCATCCAGACGCTCCTGTGACGGAGGAATGAGTAGAATCGCTACATCCTGAAGTTCCTAAAACTTAACTTCAGCACGTTGCACAGCGTCTGACCTGAAGGTGCGGACGTGCGGTAACCTGGCTTCCTCCTGTCCGGCTGAGCGCCCAGCAGCACGCTTGACAAATGAGGCTTCTGGGCAAGAGCCGCCAACATGAACTATCTGCCAGCATGGCCTTTCAACAGCTGCCAACGAAGCGTTGATGTCGACAACATCCTCAAAGTCAACAGGAAGGGATACCAGAAGCTCCTGCGAGGGCAGAGCGGATCAGCTGCAGTAAAACCAGAGTTCTGGACTTTGAGTTAGCTTCTCTAAGCAAGGGCGCGGAAAAATGGAGCACCTCCTCCTCGATGACGTTTGAGTCCTCACTGGCCTTTCAAAGCAATCGACACAAGTTATGCCACAACTAAACAGGCCTGGACAAAACGACACCCTGCCTGGAAGGTCTTGCTGCGCAGCGCATCCAAATAGCCTGCGAGTGGCAACAAGCTCACCAGGGCTGTCCGAAGCAAGTTTGCATCCCGGTTTGCAATATGAACATCTGTTTCGCTTTCTTCCATCAAAAGAATGACTGAACGAGTGAGGAACGGGTGAGAAGGTTGCTTGTAGCATACGGGAGTTAGCAAGTTAGAATCTTCGTGCGCGTGAATGCGGCAAGCCTCAGGAATGTGTGCAACACCTGTGCACAGCCTTAGATGATTTCTACACGTGTGAGAATGGCAGAGTAAGCAAAGAAAAAACAAAGAAAACACGTTGCAGAACAGCTGAACAGCAGGCACACACAGTTACTATGACATGATGGACAAGGACGGACAGGGATGACTCTCAGCTGCTGCTCCCTGGCAACAAATAGCGGGAGCCACTTTGTCGCAGCAGTTGCAGCAGGTTCAAATTCATTGCGCGCAGCTTTTGTCAGTATGCATTTGCCCCATCCCAGCGCTGCGCTCAAAATATTCCCAAAGCCCCAGAAGTATGCCATCCCACAAGCCGCTCGAAGGAGAACTCTGCCCAGTCCACAAGGGACAGCGGTTTTGATGGTAGCTTGGTAACTCTCAGACTCTCAGGCCTGCGAGCTCCCGCCTGTTCCTCTCAGCACGTTCTTTGGCCTGTCAAGAAGGCCCGTTCATGCAGAAACTTTCATGCGCAAAAGAAAGCAATGCAAAGCCGTGTAGCCTTGGCCAAGCTCTTCTCCAGCTCACCCAGAGATCTCTGCCCATCATCCGTCCTGATTCACTGATGCCACCGTCTTCTTCAAGCAGTCATGCTTCTGCTTGCTGAAGGTGTGCCTGAGGTGCCACCGATCCGAGTCCTGCACAGACAAGGCATTGGGCTACAGCATGCCCTGTCCCGACAACAGTCGCGTCCTGCGGATCCGCCACGGGGGCCTCTGAGTCAAATGTATGTGGTGAACAGGCAAAATATCTTTGTTGGAAGGTGGCACTGGCAGCCCTTGGTGCACAAGTCACGAAAGGAACAGCTTCAGTGGGCCCGCGTTTGTTCGCTTGTTCGCCCTCAGGCCGTCCAAAGTCCAAAGGCTAAGCCGTGCAAAACTCCTAGAAAAATGCAGAAGCTGAAGCATAATCCGCAGCTTATCTGCAGCGCAGTAGGCTGCCTCCTCCTCCTCGCCCATGAGCTGTCTCGTCAACCACTCCCGTCGAATCTGC